ACAACATTCAGAATAGATAAATGAGAGCACTAATTTCAATATATGCCTTGAAATTTTAAAATTTAGTGGTAAAACGGGGTGGGGCCCCTACTGGACCCGCCCCTGTTAATCTGAAAAAGATCTTAACTGCTTCCTTTATGCCACAACAGGCCTGTTAAACTTGTTTTAGGATATGGAAACTGTATTATGTTTCCCCTCTGCTTTCATGTTTTTACTGGCTTTCTGTAAAAATGTATCCAATACAAAATTTCCTGATACCTCAACGCTGTATCCTATAATAGCTCTCGAATCCTCAAGTACTATACTTCCTTTTAGCAAGACATTTTCATAGGCATGGTTTAGTTATCTTTGATCTACAGTGTCATAATTTATCATTGTTTATAGCTTTGTTCATTCACCTTTTGATCTGTCAAAAGGGTCCTGTCTGGGACCAGCTCCCTATCGTTAACCGATGCTGCAGTTCTAGAAAGCCCATCCTCTCTTCTTCGTAACGTTTATTATCATTTTGATTCGCTGTAATGTTTCTTGTTTGATGTTTCAATGTGTTGCTGAATTTGGGGCTTTGCTACAGTGATTTGGTTCACTCTGGTTGTCCCTGGTCTCCCCAAATTTCAGCTTTTTTGTCGCTCTCTTTTTGTTCTTGTTGTTAAACGATCAAATAAATAATGAATGAATGACAATACTTTTAATATGATTGGTTAAATCTCCGCAATTTGGTTGGTTATTGTCTAGATTGTGTACATAATTTATTCCTAAAGATGAACTAATAAAGGTATGAATAAAAAATGGCTTGTATCACTTTTTCCGGAGTTTGTTTCATATTATCTTATGCTATTAAGCGTTCAACATATCAAAGTACAAATACCAAGAATTATCCTGGTAGCCGTCTATTTTCAAGGAGATCCAGATCTCGTTTGTTTACTGGGTTTATGACGTTACTACAATATCCAACATGGAGTGTCATAGCTTAATTTACATTTTAAGAAATCCAACTTTATTTAAAGGACCGATACAGTACATCAATCCTAACTTTCTATTTGCTCTCCTGCAAACTGTGTAAACCAATACTCAATAGAATCAAAATAGATACACAATCCTTCTCACGTTCAACTTGTGATAGTAAATAGCCTGACATCTTGTATAGACACCCAGGATTTCTTCTTTCATAGTGAATGATTTTACATTTTTATTCGTAAAGCATGGTTTCCAACTACACTGTCGCTACACACTGCAATCGTTGCACTGCGTAGCAGACCTCGACGCAATTAATCGGGAAGCTCTCCGATTCGGCTGACCAATCAGCATCACCAAAAGCTGCTGGCGATAGCGTGTAGCAATTGTATGGAAACCAAGCTATAAAGGGGAGCTGCCATAATTTAGACCAATCTTTTGCCCTATTCAAGTCCCTCTGCAATAAATTTCAATATCATTAACAATTCTAAATATTTTTGTATCATCAGCAAATAACCAAATAGATGATTCAATTAATTCAGGAAAATCATTTATAAAAATAGAAAATAAAGGACCGGTTACGCTGCCTTGTGGGATCCCAAATTCTACACTGGTGTCATTGGAGACAACACATTATTTATTCTAACACACTGTGTACGATCCTCCAACATTCTTATATTTTACAATTACCAGTTTTTGGGGAACACTATCGAATGCCTTTTAATAATCAAGATATACAAAGCAATCAGAGTTTATTTAAATTACTAGTCCAATTTTCTAACAGTTGTAATTGCTGTGCACAAGACATCCAATTTCTGAAGCCAAACTGTTCATTAGATAGAATCCCTTATAATTAGTTCCATCACATTTCCTACTACAGAGATTAAGCTAACCAGTCTATAATTTGTGGGACCAAATCTATAACCATTTTTTAATATATAAAACACAAGACAATCTGAACTACCCAATAAATCATGTTTTTATACAAAAATACATAACACCTATTTGTTTTTATACTTTTTAGGTGAAATATCTGATGTTGAAAAAGAATGGCGGGAAAGTTACTATACTTGGAAGTATGACGATATGCCGGGTTGGAAAACAGCATTTAATGATTACAAAAACAATGATCAATGTGAAATGCCATAAAAGTGCTATTATATTAGGCCTTTAACATTCTTTTAAAGTAACAGGAAATAGCATTAAGTTATGATTTACAGACTCTTTATCCTATCAATAAAATCATTTTTTATCATCGTGTCTGCGTAGGAGTATCCGAATCCGGACCAAGGTGACTAAAGTCTATTTTTGAACAGGATAATAATCGATCTCTTCAGCATTGTGTCCAAGTGATATTGTGTCACACAGTCACATAGAAATGCAACAAAACAAGCTTCAAGTTATACCAGGGACCAGTTATATTACAATATTAATATTTTCAAGTAATAAAAATAATAACATCTGGTTATACAAAATGGTTTTCATGTTGAATATGAATGATCAAGTTGAATACAGTTATATTTGATTATGATCCGTCTGACTTAAATGACCATTATTTCATTTAGTTTTGAGACCAATACAGATATAGTAAATGCCAAAACTTTTAAACTTCATTCCGCCTAAATCATCGGAAGCAATTGCACGTTTTAAGAATGGAACAAATTACACAAAAAGAACATGTTTTAGTACAGCAAACATTGTTAACGAATCATCTGGGAGGTGTAATAAATACAAATAATTATATAATTATGGTTTTGTAATCTCAGTTGCATTTCTGATTCCTGTTTTTCAACACCACAACAAAATGAACCCGTGTCGTGTTTTATATTTGTACTTGGCCTATTTAGAGTTTTTTTTGAAATATCAACTTTACATTTTTGCACATCATACAATGCACATTGGTTATCAATTTATCAATTTAATATGTCGTTAATATGAATTATATATTGACATGATGTTTGGAATAATGTCATGAATGGCAGCTTATTCGCATATAAGATATGTCACTTAAAACGGGAAGAGTTAGACTTGCCACAAGTCTCTAATCAGTGATTTTTCGTAGTATTAGCACATTTCGGAAAGCGCCACCAGCGTCAGTTTATGTCGAGAAACTTTTAAAGTAATATGGAACGCCATTGATGTCAAGATTTTTTTTTAAAGCATTTTCACTGATTAAGACAAAGTTTAGGGACTGGAACCCAGTCTATGGAAGAGTAGGCGTACTCACAAACATGTTTCAGATATTCATCATAAGTAGGCCCTATATCAATATATTTTTATTCTGTTTTATGTCTACAATAAAAGCATTTATTTCTATATTGATTTTCATTTTTAAATAATTTTTGTATATATTTTTAAGACTGATAATAAGTATTTGCGTTATTGGATTACGGATTTTTGCTTCACTTTATAGAATATTGTGGAATTGTATTGGTTATCCGGTAAATGCGTTAAAGCACTTGTTGCATTTGAATTTAAAACAGAAGAAAAAAATCCTATATTGCACAACTTTAGTGTTGACAAACATTAACAAGCGTTATGTTTATAAATTGTAAGAACTTGAATTAAATATAGCGTGACGTCTCTTATCGGTCTACTCACAGGTCATCGCATGATACGGGATGAATCAACATTGTCGCAGTCATTAGCAGCAATTAAAGTACCACTCTTCCTTATCCAGGTCTCAATTCTCCTATCACAAATACAAACCAGATAAGAGATCACGTCAATTAACAAGTTTCAATTCGATCTAGACCTTTAGTTTGTCAATAAAACGTATATAAATATATATAATTTTTTTTGTTTTATCAGGATAATTTTAATTTGTAAGATAAATTGAGCGATATAGAAATATAATAAGATAGTATGTTCTTTGATGTTTTTCGACAGCTCGTATTAATGATTCGAATTTCCAGCTCCTCAATGCGCTTTAAAAAAACAACGAGCAATAAATCATTTTGATTTAAACTACTTAAATTACAAAACAGTTGTATGCGCTACCGGTGGTGGTGGCCACCAATGTCGAAAGAACGTTGCTGTCACTTTCGGGTGCTTCCACCTGAAGATAGGCCCTTCGGCTCTACTACCATGCTCTGCCAAAGACAACGACGCTGTCTCGAATAAGGTGGAACCAGTTTGGGCGCCCGATATCACATCCATCAATCACGCTCTTCTTCATACTGCGAGGCCTGTTAATTACTAAAACTTTCTACAATTTCAAGATTTTCTCATGCAGTTGTTTGATACGTTTAATCTATAACCTCCAACACAATAACAGTGATAAGAACAGTCAGTTCCCAAAAAAACAAAATCCGAGTTTAGAACAAGCACAATTAAAGTCAGGCTGTTTTTTATAATGATTTGAAACAAATACAGTGTGTAATGTAGTACAATTAAATGTATAGAATTTAAAATTACCAAAAACATACGAATAACTATGTGGTCAGAAAACGTCGCCCATTGAAATAATCTCACCACACGTTCAAAAGTATAACGACTTGACTCATTGACTCGCAGATTATCTTTGGCCCGTAAGTATAATTATAAAAATAATCTATTCCTTCAAACAAATTAATGAAGAACCAAGGTCCTATGATAACCCCTGTTCATTTTCATGTGACTTTTCAGTACCGCCGCCAGACAACTTACGCTGTCATTTAACATTAGCATTTCCAGTGATATTGGCAGTAATGTTCCGCTGGTATTTCTTGGCAACTTAGTGATAATGATACTAGATTCAATTATAGGGTCATGCAAGTACGTTTTTGGATTGAGGTAATTTTTTTAGTGAAAATGTTTAGGATCTAAACACATTGTTAACATTGTTGAGTACAGGATCGTCAGGTGACTATCTTGAAATGTAGGTGACCTTATTTTGATAACATTCGGCATAGAAACTGTTGCACTTTAGTCTGCAGTTAAGTTCACTCTGAAATCAGAGATACATTTTATACTAATGAAGAGAGTGAAAGTTAATAACTAAGATGAAGAGCCAATGGAGGATGTTCGTAATTCTTTCCAGCTTTCTGTCTTCAGTGACATCGAAAATTATTACAACAACGTTGGGTAACGTCATTGGGACTAGCATATTTTTCGAGGATATTACATATATCAACAAAAGTGTTAATTTAGACGTGTACCGTGGGATACCATTTGCTGAGCCCCCTATGGGAGGTCTTCGCTTCAAGCGTCCTATTGAAAGAAAACCGTGGAGTCCAGAGGCTTGGAACGCCACTTACTACAGAAATGTTTGCGAACAAACGAACCCTAATATTGTGTCGTCTGAAACTTCAGAAGATTGTTTATACTTGAATATATTTGTCCCTCAGTCTGCGATGGTAAGAGTTTATTTCAATCAATAACCTTCAAATTATATAATTCATCTCATCCTAGATTATCCAGTGCTTTATTCTTACCATCATCCTCATCATAATCATCATCATCATCACTATCTTCGCCATCATCATCATCATCATCATCATCATCATCATCATCATCATCATCACATCATCATCATCATCATAAAGGTTTAAAGGTAGGAGAATAACTCGCAGCGCAAATACAGAAACCAGATGAAACTGTTTGAGCTCACATCGCGGCAGGGGCCTAAATGAACCATAAAATCAGGGGAACCCCCTAATCCGCCGAAAGATGTAACAGGTTCTTTCTTCTTTGACACGTGTGTTCACTCTACTCCATTTTAAGTCCTTATCCGAGAAGACCTGGCCCTACCAACCAGACCCTGGGCGAGGAGCGGCTCCACTCGACTCGCCACAGACTTCGTCATCATCATCCGCATCATCATCATCTTCCTTATCATCTCATCAACATTATCATTATTACCATCACCATCATCATCACTATGTTATAAAATCATATTCAATCTCTTTGAAAGAAAACAATTATTTGTTTAAAGATGACTTATTTTGGAGGCACATTATCTGACATAAGCAATTCATTAGCAAAATAAGCACAGTTATGGTCGTGTTTGGTGTGGTATACTTTACAAGTTTTTGTATAGGTTTTAGGCCTCTTCATCAATAACTCCATTAAAGTTTTTATAAAATTTAATATTTGAAGATTGATTGATGACTTATTTTTTAACTTGAATTTTATTAAATTTGCTTTAAAAAGTCTTTGAATGTTCAAACTAAATGAAAAGGGAATTACTTTATATTTAGTTTATTTACAATTGATCATTGAAGTACTCCACTATCAAGTTGTTTGAAATGAATTAAAATTGAAATTAAAACACTGGCATTTTTGCTAGCCGAGTTGGTTGATTGAATCGTTTATACTTTAGCGTTTTTCGTTTTAAAATTCATTCCGTGTATAAATAATACAAATAACTTTTAACAAGAATGCAGTCACTCCATGAGTACACATACTCCGTTTTGTGTTTAGACACCGAACAATACACGTAGGGCGTTTATGGGTGAGACGGGCTATTCCATTATTTTCATTGATGCTCAAAGAGTGTGCTTTAAAAAATGTTTGGACATTAACCTTGTCCTTTGACTTTATGCATTGCCATTAGTTTTTCAGACAGACAAACAGCCATGGATAGGCCTACCTAACCTCCCTGACGGAGGTAATCATTCTCTAGTCCCTCATTATGTTCATGTACTCCTAATGCCAATACAGTATAAAAAACAAAAACAACTCTATCGATAACAATAACTTTAAATACCTGAATCCAACATCTCGTTTTGCAGCCAGGAACAGCAGTGATGGTTTGGTTCTATGGTGGCGCTTTTCTCTTTGGAGGCGGATCTGAACCAGAATATGATCCAACACCACTGGTTGCTGTCGGTGACGTCATCATCGTTACTGTAAATTATCGTTTAGGAATCTACGGTTTCCTAACTACTGGTAACATAACAAATTTTACATACTATTATTATTATCTGTCAGATTATAGAACCTGTATTCATCGAAATTAATTAATGTAGACATAAATTGTAATTATTTTGGTCCAATCATAATATTTTTTATTATTATTGGATATTACAATACGTTGAG